AAAACACGTACGCGTTTTAAAGGTGAAAATAGGAAAATGTATTTAAAACAATAAAATTATCCATAGTAATGTTTTACCAGTATAAATTTTATTAGAAATTGTTTTGTGATTGGTTAACTTAAATAGATATAGACTGTAAGCCCCACCCCAGCAAAGAATCTGTTAAAGTGACACCCCAACGGATAAAATTAAATATAAAACCACATCAAATGTTTATTAAATTACGACAAATAAATGAAATACATACTTACGGTAAATTAAGCTTATTAATTAAGTAACCCAAGAACTTTTGAGGTGTTGTATTTATGAGGAAAGTATTAAAAAGGAAATAAAATACGATAAATCATGTTTGAACTCAGTTCTAAGGCCTGCGAGGTCCTGTTTATTTAAAAAAAAATCTTCCAAAATAAGAGATTAATGAAGTGAGTTAAACGTATAAAAAACTTAAAATTTATAACTGATAATAATAATTTAATTTAATAGATCGAGCAACAAAAGTAACAAAACCTTAAACGACAATTTATTTTCTGAAAGAGAACTTTGAAAGAGAGGGACATCCTACAACCACATAAAACCAAACATAGGAATCCGCACAGACCAAACACAAAAGATAAAAATAAATAAATAATAATAATAATTTAATTAAATGAATGTCTAGAAAAGTTTATCAACAAGTTTCATACTAAACTTTTTCTACGACTAATACTTATTATTATCAAAAAATGATTTAAATATTATTTATTTAGTATTTGTATAGAGCGACATCTATAAAACAATAGAGTAACCATTCTTGGAAATCTGTATTACCTGCGCGCCGGTTAAAAAGTCAAATTTTTATGCGTAAATGGAAATGTATCCCTTGAAAATGTACCGTTTAAATCCAGCAGTTTTTCACAGTAAAATTAAAGAAAATATTTATGGGTGGAGTCTTCACCCGAAATTAAGTTAAATCTAGTTTACTTCCGGCAAAATTAAAAGGTCACAATGGTCGTAATATTTAAAAAGTTTATATTATGAACTTTTTAAATATTGGCGTTGAGAAACTATTTAATACTTTTGTATATATAGATAATATTATTCAACACTATATACACATTGACAAGTTGTGGCTTTTTGGCATTTTCGTCAAGGGCAGAAGTTAGCAACACGTTTTTAGTCACGGGCTGAAGTTAGTTTTAAGTTAGTTGAGAGTTGTCAAATGTCATAAAGTGGCCGTTAAAATAAAGTGCCCTTCTTGTAAAATAACAATAAATAATAAAATGTGATAGTATTTATATTATGTATCAAGTTTTTAAAAAAAGTAGGTAGAACAATATATATATGACGATAAAAAAGTCAGTGGGAAATGATTTGATTGGCTGCCTGAAATCACGTTTACTTTTTTTAACGAAATAATTCAAAAAATAATCAGTAAAATTTAAATATTAATAAAATGCTTACAAAATTGCATATTATCTTAACAATTATTTCGGTAAAAAATGTTCCTTTGTTAAAATAATTACAAACCCTGGTTTTATACAGAAAATTATGTTAAAATTTTATAAAATAATATTAACAAACTACACACTCGTGTTAACAAATCTAATTTTTATAAGTGCACTTAATACATGTATTAAATAAAAATTTAAATGACATAATTAAATAATACTCCAAAAATACAAAAAAAATTAATAGGATTTATGCAAAGGAACTCCTCGATGCAATATTTATTTTGTATAATATCCCTCAAATTTGAATTATTTAAATGATTTAAATTATTTCCATTATAAAGTCAAATAAGTTAAAATATTAAAACTCATATTCCTATAAAAATTAAATATGTATAATTATAAAATATAATAATATAATACATATAATATAAAATTTAATATAATATAATATCAATAATATAAGTCACGCAATATATTTTTAATAGATATTCACCATCATTTATTTAATCCATGGCAAGGTTTTATTATAACAAAAAATAAGAAACAGTTTTCAAAAAAATTAATATGCAAAAACTCGGTCCAGTTTAAAATCCAAAGATGATTTTCTTACACGAACACATCTATTCTCAATAATATGGACCAGTTTTAACCAACGTGCTCTTATGCTACTTTGGAATTAAAATATTAATATATGTAGTTTGCATAATAAAAAATAAACAGATAATTTTTGGTGAGCCTATTGTTTTTCTTAAAAAGGTAAAACATAATTGACGTCAAAATTTTGACATTGCCACATTTTTTTTTACTTAATATTTTTTAGTTTGAAGTTATTAATAGGAACAACAACAAAATTCCCGAGTTCGCTAAATTCGTCGTTTCGGAATAGTTATTTTTTTAATGAAAATGCCATTTTCTAGTAAATTCAAGTAATTTAGAACTTTTTGACAATTTTTTTTTCCTTTTTTAGAAAAAAACAATTTAAAAAAAATTGTGTAAATTCACTTAATTTTTTATATATTTTTTGTATGTAGTAAATATTTACCTACAATTTAAAAAAAAATTGCAACGATCGAAACATTTTTTGCCAAGTTATCGCATTTTCAAGAAAAAATGTCACTCGTAAAAAGAGAAAAATCCATTTTTTAAAAACTTCCTACGAGTAAATAAAATAAATTTAAGCAAAAATAAAAAATAGGGGTCTCATCGATTTCGATAGAGAAACTGCAAAAATTCGTTGAAAAATATCGACTTATCCCTTTTTGCTTGGTCGATTTAAGATGGAAAGACCCTATTGCTATTTATAAAAACAAACTAAGTTAATAAATATTTTTTATTGTTCTGGATGGAGCTTATCTAAAGGTGAAAATATTGGCCTATTAAGGGTTACCTAATATAAACAATATTATGGAATCTGCTTTAAAATACATTATCTAGTATTATAAAGTAAATCCACAAACCAGATAAACAGTATTTCAAAGCAGTTGTTATAAGCATAAAGAAAAACTATATTTTTTAAACTTATCTTTTAGAAATTCTTTAAGAAAAGTTGCCAGTCTTGTGGGGTTACCTGAATAATAAAGTCTTTCAGCATATTCTTGAAAGGGCTAAATCGACGGGAAGTGGTTTAAATCCTATTGCAATGCTGCGGGATGTGATGAATAATTTCAGGACCTGTGTGGGCAAAATATGTTTTACAGGAGATATTTTAAAATTTAGAGAATATTTCGGTTTTCACACTACATTAATTTTAATGTCTTTTCTATAAGCGTTGGCTTAGTCGAAGTAAGTAGGCTAATAAAGTGCAAGTGGTGAATGTAAGACGCGTCGACATTAAAAAAACTAGTCTTAAATGTTTGTGGCATCACAAGAAAAGATAGTGATTACTATTAAAGTATTAAGTCAAAGAAAACAAATACCGGCAAGCCAATCTACAATGTCCCCTTATATTTTAATATCTTCCAATTTTCCATGTTTTAGCAAAACACCACAAAATTTAAATTAACAAAACTACACACTTCTATATTTAATACTACTAATTTCCTAATAAAATAGGCCTGATTATAGTGTTCATTAGATCTTGGTACAGCTGTAGCTAAAAGCAGTTTTTTAAGCTTATTATAACGATAAGAAATACATCAAGACAAAGTTATCAAATTATCAAATATCATTGAATTGGAAGTTTTTATTCAACGCTTTTAAGCTCTTTAAAGCCTAATCTATGGATTTTATTATTTATATGAACACAGTGAGTTTAATTGGAGGATAAGGCCGATTCGGAAATGACATTGTAAAAATAATTATATAATATTATATTATTATCACATAAGTTTTCTTCTTTAATTTTAATTTAATATACCGTTAAAAAATTTCAAATTTGTTATTAAAATAACTTTAGAATTAATAAATTCTTGTAATAAAAAGTTTCATAAAATTTGAAAAATTTATCTTAAAATCATAAAAAAGTACAAAACAATGCTGAGAATCCTGAATACCTAGCAATGTTTGCAGATTACGTGTTAATCCCATTAAAACAACCAAATTAATTTATAATTACAATTGATTGTTTGATTACTTTCTTATAATTATTTCTTATTAACAAAAGCAATCTCAAAACAGGGTGTCACGCTTGCATGATAAACATAATACGTTGAAGATGACAAATTTATTAATTTTATATTTACTACTCACTATTTTGTGTTATTAGGGTTTCAATTTAACCACGTAACTACAAAAGAAAATTATCAGGGATAATAGAGGAATGAAAATAAGGCGTAGATTCTAAAGATATATTTTATTGGGTAATGTATTGATAACATTTTAATTTTAGTTTAGAATAAATTAAACAAATTAGTGACAAGGGAATCAATACGAACATACCGGGATTTTATCGAATTAGAGAAAGACCTTAAAGCCTGATTTATAGATTGCCTCCCTTCCTTCCTCCCGTAAAAGATGAACATGAACATGAATGAACATTAATAGATTTCCGTACGGGAATTTTTAAACAGCACAACGGTTTTTGTATTCTTTATCTTTTACGGGAGGAAGGAAGCAAGGAAGACAATCTATAGATCAGGCTTAACTGTAAGACAAACGTTTCCCAGGTGGACCATATGTAAATAAGAGTTTTGTTTGGTTTAATAAACGTAAATTGTAATTTTTTGAATTTTCACTCATTAATAAAAACCATAGATAATAAACCAACAATGCATCAGTAAAAGAGGCATAAGTTTTTAAATGTTAATAATTATTAACATTTAAAAACTTTTGATAACAAGTCCCATCTTATTCTACGTCATTTATTTTATTTTATCGTACACACCTGTTTATTTTTTTTTCGGGGAAGTAGAGTAATGTTGGGGTAGGGTGTCCATGAGGCTTTTCCTCTCCGGTTATGCATAACCGTAGAGGAAAAGCCATGGTGCCAAAGGCCGCTGTCGACGCACATATTTTAATACTAACTCTATGTTTAATTGTTTTAAAAATATCTCTATGTAACTTTTAATTTTTATTAAATCTACACGTGCTTACAATAATACAATTATTGTTATATATTTTTCTTTGTTTCAGTTAAAAACTTCACAACAAAAGGATGTTTCAGATTGTGAGTGAGTGATGACATGTTTTATTGTGCTTGCTACGATTAAATATTTTAGGAACCAACATAGGGTTTTCCATAAATTAAACCCAAAAATTAATTATGGAATTTATGGAAACTAATGATTCAACAGTAACGAATATAACTTATTATGATAATATTGATAATGACCTCTTATTGCCCAAATATGGGTATATTTTTGCAGCGACTGTTTTAAGTTTAATAGGATTTTTTGGATTTACACTTAATCTAATGGTTATCGTATTGATGATAAAAGAAAAATTGGTAAGTTTATTACAGTTTTTAGTAAAAAAAAACTACTTACAAATACATATATTAATATACAATATTCTCAAGGTTCTGGACTTTAGACCACCCTTACTCAAACTTTTTTCATGTTGGGCCAAATACGACTGCTTATTATAGTATATTTTAAAATTAAATAATTTCTGATTGTTGACATTGTAACAAACTTTTGACAATTTCAGTTAAATCCGGCTACATGCTACTCTAAACACGTCGTTAAGGTGCGAATCAGTTAGCCAACATCTGTAAGCATTTTTTGCATATATGCATATGCATGCAAAAAATGCTTACATAATATGTAAGCACATATATTATATGTAACGCGACCCGAAAAAAGAGACCTAGCACTCAAAAATTAAATTTTACAGAAGAGGCGATTAAAGTTCGCGCGGCATAGGCGTTTAAGCTATTAAATGTCGCATATGTTTTTTCAAAAATAATTAATATTAGCTAAAGACATTAAATCTTTAAAATGATCTGTAAAATTGTAAATATGAGATAAGCTCTTATGTGCACATGTTATCCTAAATATTTTTATCTACTCCTACATTGACGAGCTGTGACTTTATGGTATTTTAGTCACGGGCTGAAGTTGGCTTTATTATAAATTGCGAAAAAGTGAGGTTAATTTCGTCAAATGTCAAATATTTATTAAATAAAATTGGCTATAAATTCTTATTTTTGTTCGTCGTAGATAAAGTATAGTAGGTATGCAACTCGTTTTATAAACTTCTGTAGACACTCGTATAAACTTCTTTAAACACTGGCTCGCAAGCTTCGCTCGTGACTAATAAAACTCATAAATAAAATGGCGTTTATAAAAATTGATACATATTATACCATTATCTACTCCTAAATTGACGAGCTGTAACTTTATGGCGTTTTAGTCACGGGCTGAAGTTAGCTTTATTATACATTGGGAAAAGTGAGGTTTAATATGGGTGACAGTGGACAGATGTCAAATTTTTAACAAATTAAATTGTGTTTAGTGTTCGTCGTAAATAAATTATAGTATACTATATGCATAAATGCAACTGATTAATAAACTTCTATAGACACTCGTTTTTATTAAACACTCGGGAAGCTTGGCTCGTGCTTAATTAATTAAACTCGTAACTAAAATGACACTAAGTGACCTTTTAAATACACATTGACAAGTTGTGCTTTAAGCTACTTAACAGTTGTCAAATGTCATACAATCGTTAGAATAAAGTGCCCTTCTTGTAAAATAATACTAAAATTAATTTTATAATCTCAATACACAAGTACGAAAGCATAGCAATAGTTTTTTAACTCCAATTTAAAAAGTTTATCTGACCTTTTAATTATATAGAGTACAAAAAAGAAACGAAAAAAAAATGTTTAGATGGAATGCAGGTTTTATAATTCGTCACATGACCCTTTCGGAGGGGGGGGGTTCACATTGTCACATTCTGTCACAAGGGCCCCTATATTTTAGAGGTTGTTTAATGAATTTAAATTCAAGTTAGCCTTCAAATAAATAAAAATTTAACAAATTTCTATAGCAAATATTTTATTATATTTTATTTACTTACCTACATATAAATAATTTATCTACATAATAATAATAATATTAAAAAAAATGTATTTCATCAACTATATAGCCTATATAATTAGAAAGAAAACATATGGTTTATGTGACTAGTCAAGAGTATAAACTATGTAGTAATAATTAAAATACATAAAAAATATAATGATAAAATATAAAAACTTCAAAAAATAAATAAACATAATCTAAAATAAAAATGCTAAGCACGCTTTAAAAATAATCCTCAAAAAATGTTAACCACTGTAATAAATTTTCGTACTCGTTTTCATTACACTAAGTGCCCTTTTAAATAAACATTGACAAATTGTTTCTTTATGGCGTTTTAGTCACAAGCTGAAGTTGGCAATAGGTTTTAAGTCAGGGGCTGAAGTTAGCTTTAAGTTAGTTGACAGTTGTCAAATGTCATACATTTGTAAAATAATACCTACTAAATGTAAAATTTATTTTATAATCTCAATACAAAAATACAAAAGCATTACATAAATTAGCCAATTTTGAATAGTTTATATGACCTTTTAGTTAAAAAGTTTTAAGTTCGCAGGCAGTAAACTATATATAACTTAAATTCCGGGTGAATGACTCATAAAACATTTCCTTTGCTTTCACTGTGAAAAACTGTTGTTAATCCATTTTCAAGGGTTACATTTCGATTTATAACATATAAAAATTTGACATTTGACGGTTAAACAGATTCCCTTATTGTTTTATAGATGTCGCTCTATACAAATATTTAATATATCATTTTTAGATAATAATAAGTATTTGTCGTAGTCGTGCCTAAATTAAATTCGTGTCTAAAGTAGCGTTTATTAAACTTAATACATAATATACTATTTGCTTTGAACAGTTTAAAGTTTCAACATGGATACTTTTATTGTACAATATTATTTTAAAATTGTCAAACTTAATATTGTAATTCGAGTTTATTTCAAACTACTTGAAGAGCACTTTCTGCTGAAGTGCATTTTTAGTTAAATGGCTTCGTTTATAGCGAAATTCCGCTATTGTAGTAAATCCAATCCACGAGGGAAACACAAGGCTCCTTTGAATTTACAAAAAATCACTTGTATACGCTTAAGTTTAAAAGCGCTTATTTGTAAACCTATTAGAATGATTAATCCTTCAAAAAATAAAATAAATATAAAGTTTAAAGTTTCTTTTATTGATGTGAATTAATATGTTGCAAAGCGAGTTATTCCTACTATAAATTAAACACTTTATACTATAATGTTAGTAGCTATTTCAATTTTGGTACATACATAATTGACATGTCATGTCCTGTCTACAGTAGTATATAATGTATCAATTTGGATAAACGCAATTTTAGTCACGAATTTAATTCAGGCACGAGCGAGTTTGCGAGGGAGTGCTTAATTAAATGAGTGGCTAGAAAAGTAAATAAACGAGTTGAATACTATACTTTTTCTACGACAAATACTTATTATTATCCAAAAATGATTTAAATTAAATATTTGTAAAGCAACATCTATAAAATAATAGAGTAACCATACTTGAGAATCTGTATTACCCGCGAGTAAAAATATCAATTTTGTATGTGTTAATCTAAATGTATTCGGTTAAATCTGATATAGAAGCAGTTTTTTACATTAAAATTAAAGAAAATGTTTTGGAGTCTCCACCCAAACCTAAGTTAAATCTAGTTTACTGCCGGCGAAATTAAAAGGTCAGTACAATGTTCATATTAAATATTGCCGTTGAGAAATTATTCACCTTATACTTTGTATTGATATAGTAAAATAATTTGTACATTTAGAATTATTTTACAAGAAGGGCACGATCAACTAACTTAAAACTAACTTCAGCCCGTAACTAAATACCTGATGCCAACTTCAGCCCGTTACTTAAACGACATAAAGCCACAACTTGTAAATGTGTATTTAAAAGGTAACAACATGTACATGTATGTTTAAAGGTGGGAGTAGAAAACATTATTTTAAGTTACCCATATATATGGAGATGTATCGTAATCTACAAATATCTAAACTTTTTTAATATAAAGAGCTTATATGTTTTACAACTTAAATATATAAGTTTTTTATAGCGTAATCACAGATGTCGCTTAATTTTACCGAAAAACTTATTTATGTTTAGTGATTAATTTATTTTTATGCTCTGGATGATCTTTTTTAGTATACTAACTAACCAAGTTTTGATGTAAGTAAGACGAGTTAAATTTCCTTCTTTTACGCTTATAAAACATACCGTACCTACTAGGAGATATCTTTTTTTTTCAAGCGTAGCATGTCCTAACATACTTTGTGTGAACAATATAAAATTATCTATGCTCTTTGCCCAACAGAAATTTTTACCATTGTCAACTATTCCTTATGATTTAGTTGAGTAAATTTACATGGTTTATGTGTACGTTAAAGTAAATATTTCATTAGGAAGTTTTAATCACCTTATCTATATACTTCAAAAACTTGCCTTATCCTTTGAGTCTTTAAATCATTTAATATTTAACCCTGTTAATTAATTTTAATAAAACTAAGTTTATCACGGAGGATACCTATATAAAAAACTTAATAATTATAATTATTTTTTTATGGGATTAAATAACCACAAAATTATTAAAATATAATGACTTGCTTTCAAGATATAAAAAAACTGCATTTAAAATTATTATTAAATACGTAGAAGAGTTTTGTTTACGTATAATAATTTTTTTTCTACATTATGGTAAAGTTTAAGTTAACCGTCTTCATAGTAGAGAGAAAGTAGCCTTGCAAAAATAATCACAAATGCCTTTAGGCAATATTTTTTCTCTGTACTTTTTCCATTAGATGTCAAACAAATAAGTCTAGAGCAGCCATACTCAAACTGCGGCCCAACTACCCTTTTTTTTTGTTAAGCCACCAAAGCATTACAGGTGTACCTTATCAAAAATACGTTTATTTTTTTAATAGACCTTAATAGTTTCAGCTGTATGGAGAAATTAAAGGAAGTAACGTTAATTACGTTCGGGTTCTGTTTTGGAAAATGTAATTAGGATGTTACAGAATATTATTTATCAGTATGTCCTAAAAATTACAAACTAAAATCACGAAATTTCAAAATTTGTAATCTGTTATATGTACCTGTACAGTTCAGATAAAAAACATGTGTATAAATATAAGTAGGTAGTTTAACCTACATTTTAGTAGGCCATGATAAGCCAAAAAAATCTCCGCGCGGCGATCAAAGAATTATTTTTGTGATGATCTACACAGTCTTTACCCATAAAGCGATCCATACCAACCCAAAGGATGACATTCATTACGAGTATACATTTTTAAATTTATAATTTTGTAAACATTAAAATAATATGGGTTGCCTACTAATGCTTTTGTATTCAGCCGGTTAAATTGAAAGTAGAGCTAATCATAACCTTGAACACGGTGGTCAAAAC